CATGAAGAAAGTGGATTTCAGTCAAGAATATAATGAGAAAATCATGACTTTGCTCACCAACACATACGAACAAGTTAACATTATAAATTCCAAGATCAAAAGGAAATCCGGCTATCAAGCAAAACAGATTTCAATGGATGAACTTCAATCTACCGGCGATACTAACGAAACACGCGGCATCAGCATAATCAAGAAAATCTATAAAGGAATGGACGTGGCATGTAAGAAAATAACAATAGAAAAGGAAAAAGTGGCCGAGGTGGAAAAATTTGAATCTCAGTTGGCCATTCTCGAAAAATTGCATCATTGCGATTATATAATCCGATTTTATGGAATTTTGAATGCGAGTGAAGATGAAAAGATTATGATCTACGGCTGGGCTGAGCATGGTAACTTAAAAGAAGTCTATGAAAGGTATAGCATCCCGTGGGGTAAAAAGCTTAGCATCGCATTGGGCATCTGTCGAGGGATGGTCTTCTTAAATGCGACCAAAATTTATCACCACGACATTCGGTGTGAGAATATACTCGTAAGATTTCATAGATTATATATGGCCACATTCATTTTAGTGTATCATTGTATCATAACCTTTACTATCACACGCGTAGATGAATTCCAGATGGGAACCAAAGATTGCGAATTTTAGGATTGCGAGATGGATTAGCGGGGAAACAAAAAAGTACACAGATCCGGTGGCCTCGCTTAATTGGATGGCACCGGAGAAGATGAGGGAACTCGAAGATCCAAATTACAATCCCAATCCAAAGAAATACCGATATACAACAGGTTGCGAAATATTCAGGTAAAATGAAAGCATGTGAACATGCAATTTTACATATAATAACAGATCCTTTTCAATTTGATATAATCAATTTGTAAAAAAGTTTTGGAATGCTACTTTGGGAGCTGAAATATGAAAGGAAACCTTATGAGGGTATGACGGTACAAGATCTGGTGAAACACGTGCTTTCTGGGAAAAGGGAGAAACTGAATTGCAACAAACTATTGCCACATGGTGTTGAAGGGAAATATATTGAAATCATTCGTTCAGGTAAATAGGTTCTTGGTATCATCCACCTTCAGACAACACATTCTAATCAACTTGCCTCACACCATACACTTAGCATGGGAACACGAGCCACTCTATCGTATAGAAATGGCTACCTTGTTTAAGAAAATGCTAGACATAAACAGAGAATACCGCGAAATTTCTAAATTCGACATTAACATTATCCCCAAAGAGAAAAACACAAGTTCAAAGAATATCGTGGAAGGTATTGAGCAAAATGTCAACGATGACATACATGCTTACATCAAAGTAATACCTCCCATGGAAGACGGAATCAAAGCTTACGAAAGTGGGCGATATGACGAGGCGTGGAATATCTTCAAGGAAAATTCCGAATTGGGTATTAGCACTGCAAAATATTGGGTTGGTAAATTTTATTGGGAAGGGCTACATATCAAAAAGGATAAAGAGAAAGCTCTCGAATGTTATGAGAAGGCAGCTAGTGATGCAAATTCCGATGCACAGTATACGTACGCTGTGTCATTGATAGATATATATAAGGATAGATCATTCGAAAAGAAAGCTGACATCATTAAAAATTTGAAAATGGCAGCCGCAAATGGTCATTCGAAAGCACTAAATTTATTGGGACATATATACTTGCACGGGAAGTTACAAACCACCATGGATAAAAAATTGGCGATAGAGTATTATAAGTTGGCTGCGTTGAAAGGCCAGACGGATGCAATTAATACCTTAAATGAATTGGGTATTGATATGTATGAATAACATACATTCTCATTATTTTCAGGGCGAATTTGTACATATAAAAAAATATTGCACATGTCATGTATATTGCTTTGCCTCCTTAGATTGCAAAGAAATTGAACGGTTTAATTAATAAATTAATAAATACACAAATCTTTTTATTACATTGTACAACGTTTTAAATTTTTGTTTCTCTCAATTATGACAATTTTTCATCATCATGTTCTTTTCCATTACTATTTTTCCAACTAATCCTATCGTAAAGATTCTGAAAATCAACATCCTTCGTACAATGTCCAAACACCCAACACAACCCAAACAAAACATAACACAAAACAAAGTATCCAAAAAATACAAAAATCCATGCATCACCACTTATCTCGATATCCTCATTGACAGAAAACATCAGATCACAACAAAACAGAATGGAAACTCCGATGCTCGTGAGCGTCGACTTGACGGCCGCTAACGAGATGCCCAAAATTGAACGTTAGACTTCCTGAAATCGCGAACATCAAATGCAGAATTGATTCATACGTACACATTGGATTTTCGAGAAAATTCTCCAACTTCATAGTTATTATATATGTTATTACCAAGAGTGAAAGGGTGAACAGCAATGTCCTTGTTATTTATCACCGGGTAATAAGAAATAGGATCGATCGTTAGTGAAGAAAAATTTTAGGATACATTTGAAGCGCACAGAAACACTTTCAAAAACTCACATCGCCACAAGCATACCACCAACAATAGCCCGACCCTATAAAGTTCGGTCATTTAAAAAAAATAAAAAATAATTTTTTTTCGTACAATCAGAGAAAGAATCGTAAAGTGTAAAAAGAGAAAAGCAAACGTAGAATTGGGAGAACGGTGACGGGGAAATGCACCGGTAAAAACGTCGCAAGCGGTTGAGATGATATAAAAGTCGTTTGAGAAAAAAATCGAGAACAGAATCTTGTGAGTAATTCCATTAGTATGTTATTAGTACGGGACACAAGCAAACGCGTAAATATTTGATTCCACCCAAATGAACTGCTATCATTTAGAAAAAATCACAAACGACAAGTGAATCCTAGTATCAATCTCTCTTTTTCTATTCAATCGTGCTCATAATATTAGACACAAACGTGAACAAACGACATGACTATGAGCAAACACTGGCATGAACAAGGCACAAAGTAAAGCACAAAAAATGCTAACAATATATATATATACAATCGATGAATATTCCCTGACTCAAGAAATCTCAATAACGTATCACTCTCGTAATCAGGAAATGAGACATCGTTCCATCTTTAATAAACACTCTATCCCTGCCTAGTTAATTAAGGATAACCTAATCACGTGTAGGATAAAAAAATCTCATTCTCATGCTTCGTGATGTTCCATTGCAAAGAAAAAGGAAAGGAAAACCCCGATATCAATATTAATCAAAAACCTCAAATGGTGTTTTTCGGATGGAAGCAAAATCGAAACAAAAAAAAACAAGCAAACAATAATAAAAATTCAGACAAAATTTTTTTAATTACCTTAATATTATGATTACATCCATCTTGTACGGCCTCTATCTCATTATTTTTCGTTTTCTCTTCTGTCACTTCCTTGTCGCTCGTCGTCGTCACTCCATCAACCAGCTTATCGTCTATCATTTCATTCTCACCTGTCCACTCGGAATCCTTGGTAGGTTCAGATGGCTTTTTTGTGTGATATTGATGAAGGTTCCAACGATTAAATTCTCCGTCACCCAAATTTACAATATTAATGCCATCTTGTATTTGAGCACTGGAAATCAGCTCTACTCGTTTTGCCACCTCACGTTCAACCTTCTTCAAAAATTCAACTTGAAGGTCTTTCCGTATTCTCTCAAACCCTAACATCATCTCCTTCCTCAAACTATCGTTTTCCTTTGCTGCCTCCACGTTTTTCGAACTTAATTTGGCATTTTCATCTCTTAGATTCTTATTTGCCGATTTCAATATCTCATTCTCATTATTCAACTTTCCAAGCTCACTGACGAAGTCTACCATCTGAGGATTCGATTCTTCCAGTAACTTCAACTGAAATTCCAATGTACTAATTGTATTCTTCATCTGTTGGTTTGAGATGTTCAACATTTCATTCTCTTGATTAATCTTTATGTTTGTCTTCTCGATCGTCAAAAGCTTCTCCTCCGAACACCTATATTTCGTAGCAAGATCTTGAAGTATCGACTCGGCCAAGTTCAACTGTTCATCTTTGGCTCCTATTATTTCTTTATAATGCTCTTCCACTTTTTTTATCTCTTCATCCTTCGTCGAGATGAAACTATTAAAGTAATCATCTTTTGTCTTTATTATGCGCTCGATCTCCTGCTTGTATTCTAATATCTCACCAACCAACAAATTTTTTTCCTCTATTAGTGTTGCAATCTCAAGATCTTTTTGCTTAATTGTTCGATCAGTTTCGTCACATCTTTCTGGAATTTTTTTTCTTGCTCCTTCATCATCATATTTCTTCTCGATATCTTTACCGACTTTCATATAATCTTTGCCTTGCTTTTCTGATTCATTTTTCAATGTTGGCGAGTCATCCTTCTCAACCTGGTTTACTTGCCAATCCAATTCTTCAACCCAGCCCCCTAAATTATTTCCTTCCTTATCAGAAGAAAATTGTCGCTGGGATCTGTTTTTCAATCCTTTGTCTTGAATTTCACGGTCATGAACACTTGATCGATCATCATCATGCCTAACTGCTTGTAATTTTATCCCCATTTCTTCTGTGCGCTTCTCCAAAATCCTGCACCGTTCTTTATATTCATTGGCAACCCTTATGGATTCGTCTATTTTTTGTGTATACTCTCCGATCAATTCTGCCCTATGGGACTCGCACAACTCCATGTGTCGTTCATATTTACATTTTTCTGCGTGGCGATCATATGTGCATCCTTCCGTTCGATGATCACCATTGGTTTGCTGATCGTCAAACTTTTTTGATGGTTGAGAATCTTCGTCTACAAATGTCTGTTCCAATGTTTGGGATCAAGTCAGGATGGAAAATTGATTTTTCGCAAAACTCAAGAGAAATTGTACCTTTTTGTTTTTTGTGTCTAAAATATTTTTAACTCCGTTTAGTAAGTCGTTCATCTCTTGCAGGCGATTTGATTCTTCCCGACTATGTAATAACTCGTTCTTTTTTATTATGAGACGTAGCAATGAGATTTAGAACAGGAATAACTATTAACGATGAAGTGAATAATTCGAGATTAAAGAAGTTAATATCTTTTTTTTTTTTTTATAAACTAACCTCCAAACACGCATAGATCGACATACTTTGTTCTGAATATGTGCCGTTCCTAGTTCGCTTAATTCTCTGATGTTTGAGATGGTTTACAATATTAGGATGACAGAAAAAAAAGATTGAGACTACACTTGAATGAACCAATGCCATCTCATACCTCAAGACTTTAAAAAAAATCAAAGTTATCGATTTACAAATATGGTTGTCAGTGATTCGCACACATGAAATTCCAACATCCACGCATATTGATATTCCAATACGTACTCTTTTGGTTTTAATCCAACAAAACTATTATTATTGGTAAGTTTGGGTGAGCTATCGTCAAACGATGGTGAAATGTAAACCACGGCTGAGACCTTTTTAAACATTAATCTACGATCGGCCTCGTTCAATATGTCAATTCCGAATTCCTGTTAGATGAATAATAATGATGATGATGACGAAGGGATGATAACATCCAAAAAAACTAATCATGAATCAGCTTTGGCACTTACCAACACGTCCATATTTTTCAATTCCACCGGATCACTTTCTCTATTTTCAAAGCCGACCCGACGACCATTCACATATGTTCCATTGCTCGATCTCAGATCTTTGATGAACACCTAAAGTATGATTAATGAAAATATCACTGATGCTTTTCAATTATCCAAAAATGCGTCGATACTCTGGACCTAGTATATTATACCTTGCCGCCTTCATTCCACACCTCAGCATGAGTTCGGGATAACACCTTACTATCAAAATATCCATTAGTCTCACTGTGCGAAGTATGCCTGTTGTTCATCCGCCCAATCTTTACGGGCATACCATCGATCAATGTAATCCGCTTGGTGACAAAAGTATCATTCAACGATTCCAGAATTAGGGTGAGGTTCGGTGAGGTTAATGATAGTGAGGTGACCAAAGAGGAGGCGGATGCTGAATAATTGGATGAATTTGAGTTGTGTGAGTATGACTTCGACGAATTCTGTGAGTTTATTAAGAATGGTGAACTTTCGGGTGAGAAGGGCATTTGCATTGGGGAAATGTATGAGAATGGGTTATAAGAATACGGCAGTGGTGATTTCTGCGAACGTGAAGAGGAACGTTGTTTAGAGCTCGATTGTTTTGTTGTCATTTTCTTTTTATTTATGGCGCCCCAAACAATTCATTAATCTTACTTATTACAGTATTTATATTAAATCTATTATACTGCACTTACAGTAAGAATCTAGCGTAACCAGACAGTGAGAAAAATTTCGTATACCTTACGTATTTGGATTCTGATTGGCGTGAATGAAAATAATCAATGCACGTACCTTCATATATAGCAATAATCTTATGATCTTACGTTAAGGCAAAAACATACAATTCATGTTTTTTTAAGATAGCCGGATTGTTTCAGAAAAAATATAACTAAACTTAATTAGATCAGCACCCACAAATATCTTATTTGTTTTTATATTAGACGATTATAAAAATAAATTGAATTCTATTTGTTATTTTCGTATTTTATTTTATTTTATTTTATTTTTTATTTTTTTATATTTTATATTAATTACTTAATTACTTAATTATTTGTTTTTTTAAAAAATATTATTATTATTTTACTAAATAATTCATAATTATTCAATTTTATTTATTTGCTAATAATATGCAGTTTGTTTAATAAGTCTTTGAACAAAATATTGATTTATTTATTTGATATAAAATTTTAAAGATTTGTTTTTTAAAAAAAGTTTGGTCAAACTGTTAAAGATATGAAAATTTTTTTTATTAATATCCCTTAAATTATAATGTAGGCAAATTGGCTTACATATTTAAAATTTTAATAAGTTTTTAAAAAATTTAATAAAATTTTAAATATTGATTTTTATAATTTACTAATATAAAAAATATAGTTTAAGAAGTTCTTAATTAATTTTATTGGAAATTTTTAATATAAATAACTTTAATATTTGTTTTTTGAGGGTTTCCCCTATAGGTAAACATCATTTTTTTATTTGATATTGTATATAATAAAGTATATATCATGAAAGAAATATTATTTTTTTCATTATTTCAGGAAAGTTTAATGTTAGCTTGCCTACTTAATTATTATCTAACTAATATTGTAAAACAATTCAAAAACAATATTATAGTGCTAGATAAAGCTGAGTAATGGCTATGCCTACCAACTTAGGAAATTTTGTGAATTCTTTTGATTTTTTGGATATATAATAGTTGAAAAGAAAATAATTGTAACCGTAATTAAAACTGCATCAAATAAACTATAAAATCTATAAGTAGAAAACTAATTATTTTTTCAAGAAAGTCTACAGACAGGCTCATGGTCTTATCTTTCCAGCTTTTTGGTTACCATAGATAATGAAATATATATGAAATTGTTTGTTGTTATAATTATTAGTAAACATATAACTAATGTCATTGTTGTAATCATTGTTGCAATTGTTATTATAATACAAAACCAGTTTAAACAAGTTCAATTTTTGTTTTGATTTTTGAACAAAATCTGATTGGATAATTGAAAGGTGTTGATCATTTGTAGAGATAAGCTGATTTCGATTTTTTGGCCAGAAAAAAATATTGAGAAATTTGAAATGATGCAGTAAATATCATCATGATAAAGTAAAATTTGTGAGTTGACTTAAAACAAATAGTAGACTTACTAACTTTGTTTAAGTATATATTTTGAAAAGTATTTGTCATAATAAGTATAATGGTAGTGATATAGATAGTTTTTATGATAAAATAAGAATAAGAAGGAATACAAGAAAACAAAAGAATAGAAAATTATCACAAGCCTTTCCTTATGTAATCAAAGGATAAGCAAGACTTTCAAACTTAAATATATTTTGATTAGAGATTCTATCCTACTGCATTAGTTATCTTGAAGGTTCTTAAGTTCTTGAGCTGGAGCTCACTTGTGATAAAGAGTGTAAACCATTTTTTCTTGCTTAAAATTATTATAAAAGAAAATTTTTAACAAAACAGACATAAATAACTTTAATCTTTGTGTTTAAATTTTTAATATATAAAATTTAATATATATTTAAAATAAAAAAACTATTTTACTTATAATACAAGTTAAAATTTTTATAAATAAATCATTAAAATCATAATATTAAAGTTATTTTTTATAAATTATTTTACAAAACTACTTATAAGTTATATATAAACTTTAACTTAAAAAATTTTTAAGTTTGTCTAAAATTAACTTTCATTAAAAAAGTATTTTAAAAATAAAAATTTTGCTATAATTAAACTTTAAATTTTTATTAAATAAATAATAATATATAATTAAAACAAATTTTTAAAAAAATATTTTGATTATTTAAAAAAATAAATAAGAAACAACTTTTTAGTTAAAAAATTTTATTATAAAAATGCTTTAGGATTTAAGAAAAAATAAAATTATTACATAATTAATATTAAATTATTAAATATAAAGAATATATTGTTGTAGGGAAAAATGATGGGTAAATGATAGAAAATTATAAGGGTAAGTATATCAGGTATAAACGATATATCAGGTATAAGTAGTATATCAAGTATAATAGGTATAATAGGTATAAAGTAAAAAATGTATATAAGTGACCTGAGAATGGTCAAAAAGTAAGGGAATCAGAATAGGTACTGTGCAACTGTTAAATAAAAACCATCTTTATTTGATAAACTATTGCCTTGTGATTGATCCCAGTGTTGCGTAGCTAACGGAATTGCTGCGTGTGAAGTAACCATTGAGAACGCAAGATCAACGGACTGATCTGCGTCAGCGTTACGAACTCTGGCCAAATTCACACATCTCTTTTGAGCAGAAACCACTCCGATCGTTACACGGTGTGAGACAGATCGAAGCAACTGACTCGCCGTAATTTCATCACAACAATATCAAATATAAAAAGTATATTACAGTAGATATAATATATATAATAATATATAAAATAAAAAAATATATAAATAATTTAAAATAATTAAAAAATAAAATCAATTAAAATAAATATTATATAACTATTAAATAAAATTTATTTTTATTTAATAAATTATTATTTATAATTTGCTCTGGTATTTTTTTTTTTTATCGCGAACGAGCATTAAATGCGAGACTTTATTTAAATAAGAATATTTACTGTCATTACATTA